TATAGTATAAAGATAGGGTACAAGACTAACAAGTGCATAATGATAGTTAGGATTTGATTCATTCATTTACCACATCTAAAGTTCTATCGATTCTCTCGAATTCGATAGCTTATTAGAGTATCCTTTAAGCCTTAGATTTTTCTTCCGAATAAATCTCAAGTTAAAGAATAAACCAATTATACCCAAGTGATTCTAATATGCAAAAACATGTTAATGATTGTTCTTAAGGAAGTAACGTCCTTCGACTATTTTTCCTTTAGATTTAATCAATAATTATCAAGAAGCTCCTTCGATTACTTCAGAGAAAATATATTGATTCAATCCAACCAAACTATGCAACAATATTCACCAAGATACTCCTCTTTCGATTAATTAAAATAATGAACCAGGTTGCAATTTAATTCCAATTTTCATAACAAGTTCAAGCATAAGAATGAAAGTCAAAATCCCAACAGATTCATCAATACAACATGTTTGTCAAATACCCTATAAGAATCTACTCCATGGATGAGATTAAGTTTACTAAGAACAAAAGAGAAAAAGAAAACATAGTCATCAAACTTTGAATCCCAACTTCCGTTTTGGATTCGAGTAGTGTACCGCGGCTTCCCCTTCCTCTTGCTCGTCGTTGCTCTTTCCTCCTGGTGCTCTCCCTGCCTTGGGGAAAGCTCCCACCTCATATAGCATAGGGTTTCTTCTTTTCCAAATTCCAAATACACCCTTACTTTTATGTTTTCACGCCGCAACTCCACGCAGGCGCGCTATGCAGGCACTTGGACGCGCGAATGACGCGCGGAGAACCAGTATGCAGCTCAAAATTCACGCAGGCGCGCGAAAAAGCTGTTACTCCAATTTTTGCTCATTTTTCTCTGATCATGTTCAAAACTTGAATTGACCACCTTATATACATGAAAAGTATACCATAAATTGCAAAATTCACATTAAAACTTGTCTAAACTTTCTCATTTTATTCTCCCATCAATAGAAGGTTAGGTTTGATCTGATATGAGAGTGAAATGATCTAGACGACGGAGTTGACAATGAAAGAAGGTGGGGTGACTTGAGATAGAGCCTATGAATTTTAAGATAGTTTGATTGTAACATATAATTGTAGTAAAAAACTTTATCCTAAAATAAAAGGATTGATCAAAAAATAAATAAATTTTATTATTGTATTGAAGGGCAAACATAAGCTAGTCCACTCATAATATGAACATATTTGGAATCAAATTTATTCTAGTTCTTTTTTAGTTGAGAGGTAATGTAACGACCCGCTAGGTCGTTTATATTCATGTTGAGACTATTGTATGGGCTATGTCCCAAGAGTTTATTCTAAAAGTTGTATTTAGGTTCTAGAAGTTGCTAGGAGTTGAAGATCTTGGTGAGTCCTCATAGCTTCGAGGACAAAACCCACATTTCCTTTGTCTTTTATATTCATGTTGAGACTATTGTATGGGCTATGTCCCAAGAGTTTATTCTAGCTAAAAGTTGTATTAGATGGTTTGAGACAAAGAGTATAGAAAGACTTCCGCTTGCTTTATGAAAATGTTTTCGATTGTATGGTTTTAAAGAAGTTTTAAATTATCCATACTTTTTCTAATTTCTTATGTTAAGATGATGCAACGGGCTTGTATGAGACCCCTTCGGGGTCGAGTACGCCGTGTTACATCTAGGGGGTACCCTTGGATCGTAACAAAAGTTTCTTAAGTTTAACCTATGAATGAACATGATGAGACATAGGAAATTGGACGAGTCATAGATGGGTTTCGTAGAGGCAATCAAGACTTGGTAAAAAAATTGGGTTAAAAGAGAGGTCTATGGATGGAGTCTATAGACAATAGAAAGATTTATGGTCCATAGAATGGTGTTGTAGGAAGTTGGACAATTTTAGGCCCCAGTAACTCCACCTACAGTTGACCACTACAGTCCGTAGGAATTTCTACGGCCCGTAGGTCCAAACCGTAGGGTCCTCTGGTAGTTAGTTATTAAGGGTATTTAGGTCTTTTCCTATGCATTTAATACCTATACTATGTCGTTTTGACCCTAATTTTGAGACCTATATCTACCCTTCAACTCTAAAATCTACCCAAACCCTCTCATTCTCACAAATTCCCAAACCCCATTCAAGTTCATCCCCTCCAAATTCTCTCAAGTCTCAAGCAAGAAAACTAGGGTTCAAGCTTCAAGTCTCATTTTTCCTACATTTATCTTGTGCTTTGATCATCAAGGTATATAAGGTTTCACCATTGGATTTCATTCATCCAATGGGTCCCAATGGTTTTTAAGTTTCCAATTCAATTTCTCCTAAATTGCTTAGGGTTTCATGTGATCTTCATAGGTCTTGGTTGATGTTGATTTAATTGTTCAATTTCCATCTTTCTATGCATGAATTGATTAATCTACATGACTTCTAATTGATTTCTATAAGACTCATGCACTATTCATGATTTTGACTATGAATTTATAAAGATATGCATTTATGAAGATATGAACATTATGAAGTTATGAATACGATCCATGAAAGTTTATACGTGATTTACAAAAATGGATTTTATGATCTATGGCTACTTCTAAGACAAGAATCAATGAAATTGTGAAAGGTTTTCTCACATGCTTATGAAATCATGATTTGGTGAAAGTTTTTCTGACCCGTGCATGATTTATGATTTAAGGAGCTACTCTATGATCATTTAAGCTGGGATTAGTAACTTAATTATTCCATGTACGATGATATATTTATGAATATGATTATTCCTTTGGGATTTTACTTAGCACCGAGAGAACATTGACATGGAGGCTCTCCCGTTAGTAAAGGTCGAGTCTCTAGAAGTAACTCTTTGTCCCTAACTATGTGCCCCCATTATTTTTGTCTTAGAAAGACATAGCTAGCAGATCAACCTAAGCTAGAAGTTTATGGTCCTTACCTTGGAAAGTAGGACATCTCTTTCCGGTGTGGAAGCAAGACACCAGATTCCACATTATAGCTCACGTGGTCTATGTCGGTTAATGATAAATTTCCCACAAAAAGATCTAAGTTACTTCAACAATTTGTATGAGGCGTTCACTAGGATTTTAAGATGACTTGATCATGTTCATGAGTTATGATTCTTCCTTAAAGGTTTTACTATGTTTAGCTTGATCATGCTTATCATATTTTTCTTTATGTCCCCTTATATTCATGTTTTATGTTTTTATACATATCCCTCATACTTAGTACATTTCATGTACTAATGTATAATTGTGCCTATATTGTTTAATAATGTAGGGTTAGATGCTTCTCATTCTCATGCTCGTGGCTAGTGGATTGCTTTATGGATCGAAGACTTGGTGATTCCTTATGTTCCGAGGACCATGTCACCTTTACTATGCTTTTCTCATGTCTTTAGTTTTCAGATGTTGTACGTTGTGTATGGGTTACATCCTGACAACTTCTTTTGATGTATTAGATTGACTTGTCAAGACAATGTGTAGACTTCCGCTCTTATGTTAAACTCATCTTGATATGAGATTTTTTACCTTTAATTCTAATGTTTTCTGTTATATTATGTTGTATGTATATAAAGTGGCTTTTGTAGGGCTTCTCGGGGTCTTATACGTCATGTCATGTCTAGGTGTACTTTAGGTCGTGACAGTTCAAACTTATATTGTTCATACTTTATGAATATATGTCGCGGCGTCTCACATAAATTATGTTTATGATTCCTTCCCTCAAAATATTTTAAGAGTTCCCTTTTTAAGTCTTACAGAGGCCAGTGGAGGCTAAGTCCACCACCTTGTTTATGTTGTTCTGGTATGTACTAATTCTTACACTCTTAGCTCAAGCTTCTAAATTCCTTGTTGTTGTTGTTTGCTAGACCACATATTGTTGGTAAAAATTTAGTATATGCTATTATATATAAATCAAATAGCCCAATGAAAACTTAGTTGATTCTATTCACATGTCTATACTAGATTTAATCTTTATTCAAGGATGAATTATTTCAAGGGAGAGATATTGTAACATCTTGCACCTCTACTCTCAGAATATGAATCGATCATCGTAAGTATATGAGCTTGAACCAGGTGATGTCCTAATTACTCATGTGTTTTAAGGTTCTTTACCAAGTGTATAAAAATTATCGAAAATGATGTAGGGTCATAAGGGACCTCTAACATCAAGCCAAGTTCAAAGCATTCCTACCGTCTAACTTGTTCCCATTAGTTCATAGATACGCTCAAATTATACCTCCTTAAAGAAGTATAAGCGATCGTTGTCAAATAAAGAACCCAACTTGTAGGTTGGGGTCGATCCCACGAGGAATAAGGCTTAGACTTAACTTTAACTTACGATTATATTCATTTAGTCAACGTATTTCAGAGACAAGTAAGTAAATCGGGGGTGTTTGTGTAACAAATAATTGATTGTTGTTTAGAGAGCAAGTGAGCAAAATTCGAACTTCAGTTGTTATCAATGAGAAATTAGGGTGTATGTGTTCCCCATAAGCTCATAACGCGGTAATCCTAGTAATAGTAATCCTTTCCTAGTGTATCATATGCAAAGTGGTAAGTTATGTATCCCTAAGTGCTTAGTCCGCCAAATAGAGAATTTCACCCCACACCTTGGTCCGGCTATGAGTGTATAATTTACTAACCATTACCATTACCTCAAATTAGACATCACATTAATGTATGACTTAGTTTTCACCCTCGCACCAATTGACAATAGACTATAAGATAGCATCACAATAAATCTCCATTGATAATTCTTTTCATATTAACTACCTCCTTGGTCCGACAAGTAGCAACAAGGCGAGTTGTAACGTTGGCCACCGTTAAAAAGACTTCTAAACAAAAGAATTATCAATGCATGCAACAACACTATTCAAGAATTAGTTAGTTACTATTCATATTTTGTTAATCGCTCATGGTTCCTACAACCCTAGTTGTGGATTTAGTTACCCATGCTAACAAGAACATAATTCATATTTTTAGAAGAAAAATTCATGAACTTACGTAATGAGTAGAAGAAACCCGTAATCTCCAATTGAAATTGAAAGCAAGAATCTCTATAAACCGAATTTAGGAAATCAAATTGCTAGAGTTTGCAAGTTAATTCCCAAGAAAATACCAAGAACTAAGAGTTAACAACAATGTCTAACCTCCAAAAACGAGGTTTACATACCCTATTTATAGAAAACATTATCCTAAACAAAATGGAAACGAATAAGGAAATAAACTATTGGATGCGGCTTTAATCGACCAGACTGACCTATGGACCATAGATCGACCTACGGTCCGTAGGTCTCTTTCGTAGCTCAGGACTTAGAATTTTTCCACAGAGGTTGGAACCTTCAACTTTCAGATGCAAACGACGGTTGTGCAGAGTCCCCTTCCGTGGCTCCACACTTAGAACTTCTCATCAGGTACTGGAACTCAAAATCTCTGATACAAACGACAGATGTGCAGGACGGCCCGTGGGTCGACCTAAGGTCTGTCAATGGCCTCTGTTTCCACACTTGGTCAAGACTTCCCTAATGCTCCATCTACGCCACCCACCTAAGGAGCGTGACTGGACCTACGATCTGTAGGTCACTTCCGTAGGTGGCTCCTTCTGCAAAATTTCAGTTGTTGTCTCTCTTAACCTCGTCCAAGCCTATTTCCTATAATTATAACACAAACACATTAATTATAATACAAAATGGCCCTAAACACACACAACTCTTAAGTGAAATGTATTAAAAATAATGTAAACTCACGGTATATCAACACCCTCAACTTAAATTCGTTGTTTGTCCTCAAGCGACGCACTAAACTCTAAACGACACTTGTGTAGAAGCAAACATACAAACTCAAGCAATCACATGGCTATTTCAATCCATCCCACTCTTTCAGTGCAAATATTTTCTCTTAGACTCAACAAGCTAACTCATGCGGATCAAGATATGACAAAGATTGACCAAAAGACACACAACATACACTGTTTCACTATCACCAGGGTACCAACTTTTCGACAATGTAACTAGTTCCCTTACTTCAAACGAAATCCCTTTTTCACACAATGAATAAAATTTTGAATACAAGGGTTCATTCAACACTCTCGCTCAGAAGTAACTTCAAGTACAGTTAGTGCTCAATACCATAGGCTTGCCCTTATTTTCACTTCTTAGACTCTCCAAACTAGTTGCTAGGATCACTATAGGTCTTTCTTCGCTTGTAACGTAGGCTCAGGGTCAGGTGTGGTACATTTGGGTACTTTTTAGTGACTTTCTACCCTACTTGACATTATATTGGCTATTTACCTCTTCCTTGACCTATCTTTGGCATCTTTTCATTTCACTTTCTTTCCCTTAACTATTTGCAACATGGATGTGACTTTTGACTTTATGACTCTTATTTCTCACTTTCTTCTTTTTCTTTCACTTCATTTTTCTTTGATTTCTTTCAACACTTATCTTTTGATTCTTTTTGCACAAAGTCACATCCACTTTCTTTTTTCCTCTTTTCAACACACAACTCTTTTCATACCCTTTTTTCATTTGGTTTCCTCTTTCATAGCCACCCTCAACTTATGCATTTTGCATTAGTTGAGGTACACAATGTCCGATGTCAAACCAAGGCCAAGATCAAGGTCACTTTTGACTCAACCACCCTCAATTTAGGCTTTTGGCCTAAGTCAAGGTGCACATGCCCAAGAAGGGACCGGGGCCAAGACAATATTTTAAGGGAAGGTGAGTTAGGTGAATCAAAAGAAATGGTCAATTTTAGGCTCAAATATTTGGATCATAAGGGAATAATGCTACCATTTGGTTAGATCATTTTAGGATTAAGTGGACTAATTTGAACAATGGCCTATGATCACTTCCCAACTTCTAGCCTAGATTATCCTAGCAGGACCAACGGGGCAAGTTCTAGATTGGCACAAAATTGTCTGAACATTCAACTATCGTGTCACACTCTTGGCACCTTGTTTCATTATCAAATTATCAAATTGCCCAGTTCAAGTTTTTAGCTTAAGTCATGAGGTCAAATCGATTCTTATCATGCCACATTTGGATCCAACACATTCAACTCATCAAGACCATAGATTCAGTACAATTCAACATTTTTTGACAGGGATCATTTTTATCATGCTTTTCTTTCATGCCATCATTCTTTTATTTGTCACTACTCCTACACATACATTCATACACATGCCGGTTCAACAGAAATTAAGACAGTCTCTTGGGGGAAAAAAACCCAAGCAAGAAAACCCCAAGAGAGGATTATGAGTTGGGTTACTCAGACTTCACCCTATCACTCACAATCCATTTACCCCACCCCCAATAAAATAGAGTGCAATTGTCCCCAATGCACAAAAAGTAAAGAATAAAGGATCGGGTGAAGCAAACCTGTGGCGCATAGCGCCGAAGACCTATCAACAAGTGGGTGGGTCCGTTTTCCCGAAGCCCGCTGGATTAAAAATTGGGTCACCCTCAGTAGTGCCCGCATCAGTCTCAACACCCTCAATAGTGTTAACATCTACCCTCACCACACCATCAGTGGTGCTCACACTACTAGAGGCACCAACACCAATCTCTCTAATCCTCTGCTGCCGCAACTCCTCATCAATGATAGATGCCCTCCGAGCGGCCTTAGTCTTCTATTAACGACGAACCACACTATAAAACGTTATTCTTTTGGAATTTTGAAATTAAATTAACCACGTAGAATAACTTAACTTAATGTGGCTGCAGAAACTGTTAAGTATTAAACTAACTATTGCTTGACGTAAAATATATTACCTCAAAATGCTTGTCTCCACCATAGCTTTGTCCATAATCAAAGGAGGAATCCTGTTTGAATAATTTAAGTCATAGTTAAAAAATGATATGAAAATTATAGATATTTTTTAAGATAAAGACACTTACATTTAAAGTAACTTGAATCGAAGGTTGACAATACTTCTTTAGAAGAGTTTCATCATTAGTAAACTCAATAACCTTATAGACATCATCCTTTTTGCTAATGTTTGATTCCTCAATCATAACCTTGAACATGAGTTTTTTCTCAATTAAATCATCAAGCTCACTTGGATAAGAACATTCAACATTTTCAAGTAATCCTTCATTTAACTCTTTCGCGGGCTTTTCTATTAGTTGAAAAACCTCTCTATTCAAAAACAATAATGATATAAATGCAGTTCCATCCGTAACATACATTTGAAGATTGTACCTGAAAATTTAATAATTGGGTTACAATATATTAATTGAAATTTAAATTTGTTAACTGTTTATACAAACCTGTGAATAATAGATATTACTTCTTTATTGCATTTTGAACAATAATATCTGTTTTCCACTTGGTCCACCACTGTAAGACATTTCTTGCAAGCCGAGTGTGACCATCCATGATCAATTTTCAAATAAACAACTTTTGCAGCAATCCAATAGGCAGATTCCTTTGCACACATCAAATTTAGTTTAATATACCAATTAGAAAAAGTAAATAAAGTAATTAATCAATAATATATTAAACTCACTTCAGTGCATTGAATTAAATCACTAAGAAATTTAAAAGGCACAATTCCTTTAGACAACTCATCCCAAATATATTGTTGTGGATTTGTCTGAAATATCATCTCAAATTTTGGACCACATGATGCAACTAATCTGCAAGATTATTCAAAACATATAAGTTGTATAAATTTAGAAAAAAAACAACTTTTGATAGATAATATAAATATGTCGTCTAACCTGTTTTTAAAATCAGTAGGCTGAGGCAGATTAGAATTTATCCAAAGTTTCGTTTCATCCCAACAACTATGAACATAGTAGTTTTCTGTTGATTTTTTTATGCAATGTTAGTCAATTTTTATACACATCAATGATAATTTAAATTATCAACTTCATTATTTTACGATGATCGTACCTCTTAGTTTGCGAACCTGCATTAATTGCATAACAACAATCAATGGTTCATCAGCAGATTCACACAAATGAGGTTGAATTTGATACGCATGTTTGCCCCATAAAATTGTTGAAAGCCTATTTTTTCTGTGTTAGTAGATTGTTAGTAACTTCTATCTAATCAATATACAACAAACATGAAAATTTAAAAAAGTGGTGCAAGTTTGGATAAAATAAGATTAACCATTAATGAAAAAGCTTACTTATCATCTTCTAGTACAACTTTAAATAACCGCTTATCATTATCTCCTTCCTTGTTGGTTTTAAATGGTTTATAAGAGACAACCTGTCCAACAACATCTATAGATAATATAGATTAGTACAATTTTATGCAAAACAAATTATGAATTGAGTAATAGTGAGTGATCGATTACCGAATAGTTCAGTCTCATCCATGTTCTCTTGATTTGTCAATTGATCAAAAGTGCGCAAATTAAAAATATTCATATGAAATAATGAATCATGTAATTCCGTCACAATTGTGTTCTTTGTAAATATTAGGCTGTGCTTGTGTTTTGTACTCTTTCTTCCAAAGTAGTTTGCAGCTACAACAAAATATTCCATCTGATATAAACCAAGTTCCTGAATCTTATCCTTGAAACACTTAATTATAAACTTTCCAATTGATGCATGTATACGATCGCCCTAAATTGAAACAAATTTCTTAGTTATGTTGATATATAATATGCATAGCATTAAAGTAATAATAATATGTCGAGAGATTGAATATTGTGAAATAGGTAAAACAATTATAAAAGTTACCTTTTCATCTTGCAAAATCAACTGTAAAGATAAAGGTAATTTTGGCATGTATTTATCCGGCACCATCCAGTACATTCGAATAACACGGACTTTCAAAATCCATTGCATCGATTTGTTTGAGATTTCTGAGATTGTATTAAACTGTAAAACCATGTTTGTTTTCGGTGTTATTTTTCACGTGATAAACAATATATAATAAATCAAACGTATAGTAAGAAATAGTTTTTAAGTCATTATAAGATTGTGTTAAAGTGGATAGTTAATATGTAGTAAAGAAACTTTTTTTATCGCATGCAATAATTTTAAATCTATAAAGGTACCATCAAAACATATTATTCATATTGTGATTTTCTTTAATCTTTTAAAATATTGAAAACCGATAGATTGAAAGTAATAAAATTTGTGTAGAATTGTGACTTTAATGTTTTTTGAGATAATTTCTATTTAAATTTAAATCACAAAAACAAATTTCATTTTAGGTGCTTAGAATCAATAAGAAATATTTAGTTGGATACTAATATTGTAAAATAACAAAAAATTAAAGAATTTTATTATATCTACAATGTGATTTTTAATAAGTAATATTTTTTTTTTGAAAAAAAAAACTTATTAATGATTATCTTAAACTTATGGAGTAGTAGGTATTTAATAGGTAGTTTTTAAATTGTTTATTTAAATTGATATTTTAAAATAAGAATAGATAAATATTAATTTAATGAAATAATACCAAAAAACAATTAACCCCGTAGAATAACATAACTTAAAATATGTTACCTTAAAATGTTTGTCTCCACCATAGCTTTGTCCATAATCAAAGGAGGAATCCTGTTTGGATAATTTAAGTCATAGTTAAAAAATGATATGAAAATTATAGATATTTTTTTAAGATAAAGACACTTACATTTAAAGTGACTTGAATCGAAGGTTGACAATACTTCTTTAGAAGAGTTTCATCATTAGTAAACTCAATAACCTTATAGACATCATCATTTTTGCTAATGTTTGATTCCTTATTCCTAACCTTGAACATGAGTTTTTTCTCAATTAAATCATCAAGCTCACTTGGATAAGAACATTCAACATTTTCAAGTAATCCTTCATTTAACTCTTTTGCAGGCTTTCCTATTAGTTGTAAAGCTTCTCTATTCCCAAGCAATAATGATATAATTGCAGTTCCATCCGTAACATACATTTGAAGATCGTACCTGAAAATTTTAATATATTGTGTTACAGAATAGTATAATTGAAATTTAAATTTGTTACTGTTTATACAAACCTGTGAATAATAGATATTACTTCTTCATTGCATTTTGAACAATAATATATGTTTTCCTCTTGGTCCACCTCTGTGAAACATTTGTTGCATGCCAAGTATGACCATCCATGATCAAGTTTCAAATAAACAACTTTTGCAGCAATCCAATAGGCAGATTCCTTTGCACACATCAAATTTAGTTTAATATACCAATTAGAAAAAGTAAATAAAGTAATTAATCAATAATATATTAAACTCACTTCAGTGCATTGAATTAAATCACTAAGAAATTTAAAAGGCACAATTCCTTTAGACAACTCATCCCAAATATATTGTTGTGGATTTGTCTGAAATATCCTCTCAAATTTTGGACCACATGATGCAACTAATCTGCAAGATTATTCAAAACATATAAGTTGTATAAATTTAGAAAAAAAAAACTTTTGATAGATAATATAAATATGTCGTCTAACCTGTTTTTAAAATCAGTAGGCTGAGGCAGATTAGAATTTATCCAAAGTTTCGTTTCATCCCAACAACTATGAACATAGTAGTTTTCTGTTGATTTTTTTCTTCAATGTTAGTCAATTTTTATATACATCAATGATAATTTGAATTATCAACTTCATTTATTTTACGATGATCGTACCTCTTATTTTGTGACCCATCATTAATTGCAAAACAACAATCAATGGTTCATCTGCAGACTCACACAAATGAGGTTGAATTTGATACGCATGTTTGCTCCATAAAATTGTTGAAAGCCTATCTTTCCTGTGTTAGTAGATTGTTAGTGACTTATATCTAATGAATATACAATAAACATAATAAATTTAAAGAAATGATGATAAAATAAGATTAAACATTAATGACAAAGCTTACTTATCATCTTCTAGTATAACTTTAAAAAAACAATCATCATTATCTTCTTCCTTGCTGAATTTATATGGTTTATAAGAGACAACCTGTCCAACAACATCTATAGATAATATAGATTAGTACAATTTTATGCAAAACAAATTATGAATTGAGTAATAGTGAGTGATCGATTACCGAATAGTTCAGTCTCATCCATGTTCTCTTGATTTGTCAATTGATCAAAAGTGCGCAAATTAAAAATATTCATATGAAATAATGAATCATGTAATTCCGTCACAATTGTGTTCTTTGTAAATATTAGTCTGTGCTTGTGTTTTGAACTCTTTAATTTTGCGCAATTTGCAGCTACAACAAAGTATTCCATCTGATATAAACCAAGTTCCTGAATCTTATCCTTGAAACACTTAATTATAAACTTTCCAATTGATGCATGTATACGATCGCCCTAAATTGAAACAAATTTCTTAGTTATGTTGATATATAATATGCATAGCATTAAAGTAATAATAATATGTCGAGAGATTGAATATTGTTAAATAGGTAAAGCAATTATAAAAGTGTTACCTTTTCATCTTGCAAAATCAACTCTAAAGAAAAAGGTAATTTTGACTTGTGTTTATCCGGCACTATCAACATTCGAATAACACGAACTTTCAAAATCCATTGCATTGATTTGCTTGAGATTTCTGATATTGTATTAAACTGTAAAACCATGTTAGTTTTTGGTGCTATTCAGAATAATGTCATAATTTGACGTGATAAACAATATATAATAAATCAAACGTGTAGTAAGAAATAGTTTTTAAGTCATTATAAAATTGTGTTAAAGTGGATAGTTAATAAGTAGTGATGAAACTTTTTTTTATCGCATGCAATAATTTTAAATCTATAAAGGTACCATCAAATCATATTATTTATATTGTGATTTTCTTTAATTTTTTAAAATATTGAAAACTGATAGATTGAAAGTAATACAATTTGTGTAGAATTGTGACTTTAATGTTTTTTATGAGATAATTTCTATTTAAATTTTAATAATAATAAACAAATTTCAGTTTCGGTGCTTAGAATCAATAAGAAATATTTAGTTGGATATTAATATTGTAAAATTAAAAAAAATCAAAGAATTTTATTATATCTATAATGTGATTTTTAATAAGTAATATTTTATTTTATAAGAAAAACGTATTAATGATTATTTTAAACTTGTTAAGTTGTAGGTGTTTAATAGGTAGCTTTTAAATTGTTTATTTATTTTGAAATGGTAAAATAAGAATAGATAAATATTAATTTAATGAAATAATACCAAAATAGAACTTAGTAATTGTTTATAAATAGTTAAAGTTCACATAAGTAGTAGTGGTAGTTTAATTGGAACTTGTAAAATTGTCTAATATATAATTCAGATTGTTATTAACCAATTTTTGTTTGACATAAAACAAAAAAAGAATAATATTTGTGGTGATGACACGTTTTATTTATTCTATTTAAAAATTGGGTGCTGACTGCTAACCTTCGTCATTTTTTTTAAAAAAAATATAAAATTGTTATACATTTTAAGAAATATTTAAACAAATTGAAAAATGAGAATTTATTATTTGATGACATTCGACTTTTATTAAAAAAAAGTCTGACAATTAAAATTTAATAAATTGATATTTTAAAAAATTATTTTTTGAGATTATTTGTGGTGCTGATACGTTTTATTTATTTAAAATTATTAAATCACAATTTCTAGGGTGCTGACTGCTGACCTTCGTCATTTTAAAAAAAATATATAAAATTGTTATACGTTTTAAGAAATATTTAAACAAATTGAAAAATGAGAATTTATTATTTGATGACATTCGACTTTTATTAAAAAAAAGTCTGACAATTAAAATTTAATAAATTGATATTTTAAAAAATTATTTTTTGAGATTATTTGTGGTGCTGATACGTTTTATTTATTTAAAATTATTAAATCACAATTTCTAGGGTGCTGACTGCTGACCTTCGTCATTTTAAAAAAAATATATAAAATTGTTATACGTTTTAAGAAATATTTAAACAAATTGAAAAATGAGAATTTATTATTTGATGACATTCGACTTTTATTAAAAAAAAGTCTGATAATTAAAATTTAATAAATTTATTTTTAAAAATTAATTTTTGAGATTATTTGTGGTGCTGACACGTTTTATTTATTTAAAATTATTAAATCACAATTTTTAGGGTGTTGACATTTGGAAATTTTTAGCAAATTACAGTTTTGTAATATTCTAATCAAATTGTATTAACCTACTCCATCGTTACTAAAAACATATGCAGTAAAGGTATACAAATCTCAATCTTCACAGGGTTAGGATGGTATGTGAGTGCATTAATTATGAATTAAGGTCATACACTGCTTCTATCACAAAGTAAGTTTAAAGTGTCCTTACCAAAAACTACGGTCAACTTCAAACGATCATCTCTCTCAACCTATAATAAATTAAGTGGTCCATGACATATCAAATTAAAGGTCTATGAGTTTGTTTCCAACTTCACCAAGTTTACATCATTTCAAATTCGGATTAAAATGTTATGATTATTTTACCAAAAATTGTTCGTGCTAAAAAGTTGAGGCCGTTATAGTGAGAATCAAGGTGCTTTAGCAAGCCACAGAAGCAGGCTCCATGAAATTAAAATCTATTTTCAGACCTAATGTAACACCTCAAATGTTCTAACCCAAATCAAACCTTGAAAATTTTCTGCATTCTGGTGCAACAGAAGGCATTTATGGCCAGTATAAGTATCTATGTACCGTAGAAGAATTCGTGGAACTAGGCCCTAGAAAGTTGGTTCTCAAGTCTAAGTTTCAAGAACCGAAAAATGGATTGTATAAGCTTCTACGGTCCGTAAAAGGCCTTGTGGAATCAAGTCCTGAAATACCTTTCTAGTAGCAGGACAGCCCGTCAAAGTTCCTATAGGGCATAGAATGGTTCCGTAGACCCCAACTTCAGAAATCAAGAAAACTCAGCATGTTCCTACGAGAGGGTTTACGATCCGTAGACTATTGTATGGACCATAGATGGCCTTCCGTAGAAGACTTCTATCTGCTTTTTAAAAGGGGCTATTTTAGTCTTTTCCACACTTTCCAAACCTAAACCCCAACGTTTTTACACCTAATTAAGGCTATAAGAATCTCCTTTGCACAAAATTGAGTTGAAAGTTTCCTTACTGATTGAGTTTCGATATAAGATTTTACTTGGGTCAAATTCAAATAACCATATCTCTTAAGATATTAAGGACCTGTTTGGCCATAGATTTCCCAAGTAATATTTGGGGAAAATTTTGGCAAACAGTGTTTGTCCATACAATTTGCCATTATTTGGCAAATATTTTTTGGCAAATATCCCAAATTCCCAAATACTAGTTTTTTCTAGTATTTGGGTCAAATCTCATTATTTGGGATCTTTTAAAAATTGTAATTTTACACCAAACTTTTATCTTTTATAAAAACACCCTCTATAGTAGTTGTTTGCGTTGTATTACATAATTTTTTACGTGAACACCAAAGTAGTGATGAAATATTCAATGAATATGAAAGTGATGATATCGTTGTTGATGAAAATGATGAACAATCGGCTCAGGGTAACAAAGTCATGTGCTTTGTCTACTTCACGATGTATGGAATGATGATTGTTGCACTCACTCCAAACTACCACATTGATCCAGTGTCATGGACACTACTTGTTATTTGTTGCAACGAAGATCCAATTGACTTGTAATACAAACTTATGGTTAGTTTTGATAATTTTAAAAACTTATGGATATAAATCATATTTTTCTAAAAAAGTGAAATATATTTCCCAAATACTATGGCCAAACACATGATAAAATTTCGTCCAAATTTTCACCCAAATAATATTTGCCAAGAATATTTAAAAATCAAATACTATGGTCAAACACATGGTGAAATTTCACCCAAATTTTCACTCAAATAATATTTGCCAAAAATATTTGAAAATCTATGGTCAAACGCTAGCTAAGAGTTAGGTGGCCCATAACCTATCAAGTTAAAGTTATTTCAGTCTTCTTTCCAACACCACCAAGTTTCCATAATTTAAAGTTTGGAGTAAAGAGTTATGATCATTGTACTAATTTGATGTGTGCAGTGACGTTTTGGCCGGTGAAAAAACACTAAAAAGCGTTGTTTTTGTCTTCTTACCCCTAGGAAAATCCTAAATGAATTTCTTGACTTCTAAAAGGACCTAAACAATTAGATTTTCGTCTCTTAATTCCCTATTCTCTTCTCTCTCAAACCTCAAGGCAAAACCCTAAATAAAATCAAAGCATAATACTTTCAAGCAAGATTCTTTCAAGTCTTATTCAAGATTCTTTTTCAAGGTTAGTCCTTCTCCAATGATTTCAAACATTCCAACTCAAAATCCTTCATACATTAATAGAAAGCATAATTATTGGTCATAGGATTTTCAAGAAACTAATTCAAGAATCTCAAGAAAGGTTTTCTTGATCGTTCTTCTTCATGTTATGGTTCTTCTTCAAGATTTATGGAGCTTTTAAGGTATTCAAGGCTACTCATTGATGGACTAAGTTCGTCCCTATGTCCTACATCTAAATTCAATCAGTAGAAAGTTCAATCTAGGGTTTTGCCCTCAGTTTCATGAAATTCTTGATATGAGTTATGTTCTTGTTCCGGGTTCTAAATTCTCATTTATGAGATTGCAATATTTTATGCATTGCGATTCTTGAATTGTTGTTCATGTTTGTATTTCTACATGAATCCTATTTATTGAGTTTTTGCTAACAATATTCGAACCAGTATTTTCCATGCATTGATTTTGAAATTTAAATAAAGTCCAAGAGTAATTTTAAAGCATCATTGAAAAGGGTTTTAAAGGAACATAAATGGTTCCAAATTTTTTATTTTACATTCACAAAAGAGGCACTATTTCGAAAAGAGCATAAATTGTTTTCTAAAAAACATTTCTGTAAAGTAAAGTAAAGGTCATTTCCCTAAAAAGGGTTATTGAGCATAATTGATATTGACTAATTTGGGAATAGTAATGAGCACCGATTTAGGTAAGAGTACATTTTAACTCAAGCCTAATGAACTACGTAGCCAATATAGGATAGAATTGTACCGACTTTTAGGCTACTCTCCACTGCCTCTTAGAAGGCACATTCAATGGATCCATAGTTTATAGTTGTTGTCCTATACCCCGGCAAAGTATATAATGACTTTGGACATGTGGACAGGACGTTGTATCATCGCTAGGCTCAAAGTGATGGTTGTCGATTAGAGAAACTCCCCAAAAAAGTATATTACATTATTTTTATGTTGCTTCTATTGCATATCTTATATTGTAAAGTTTAAATGACTTTACATCATGTTCAGGCTACACTTTCAATCTCTTTTAGTTCAGTTATTTATTTTATTCAGCCTTAGTACATACCGTACATTCAATGTACTGATGTCATTCGACTTGTATCATTTCATGATGCAGATTCAGGTACTTAGGATCATCAATACGCGTTCCGTTGAGATTACTTCATTTGTTCGTCAGATTCTGGTAAGACCTTATTACTTTTGGAGGACTCCAGTTTATTGTTTGGTTTTAGAAGTACTTTGAGGTGTCACGGGTCTTGTCCTGTCACCTATCTTTAGACAGTAAAGGCTTCATGGACAGACTAAGTTAGATAGTTTTAGTACTTTCTTAGATGTTTTTGTTAAACGTTTACTATTTATATTAAGTATTTTTCAAATAATGGTTTTAAGTTCTCTAATTTTAAATGCCCATCTATTAAAGCTTCCACATATTCTATTGAGTCATATGTATCATAGTTAGCCAGGCCAAGGGGTTTTTTGGGGATCAACAATGGTTCTCGAGTGTTGGTCACCTCTAGGGTGTAGATCCGGGGAATGACAAACTTGATATTAGAGCGTATAGTTTAAGAAACACCTTAGATAGTTGTTTTTTGGCTGGAATTATAAAGAAATATTTGGAGCACAAGTTAATAATATGTTTGTATGAATACTTTACCGGAAAAATCTAAAAACCTGGAAAAAAAAATCGAGGTTTATTAGTTTGGTTTATAAATTTAAAAATTTTACACAAAAGGTTTGGTTTGATATTTGAAAAACCCAAACCTATCCGGTCATGTACACCCTAAAATCACTCCTCCAAGTTTACTCTAGAAGATATCAAATTAAAAATATTGCCTTCACACTAACACAAGTGATCTCGACTAAATAATTTAGTCAAATAAAAAAGACTCACATTATCTTCTTCAACATTTTTTTAGAATCAATAATGGGGTTTTAAGATTTCTAAAGTACTAAATCTCTGGTTAACGATAAACCACACTATAAAATGTTATTTTTTTTATGGGAGTTCCAAAATAAATTAACCACATAGAATAGCAGTGGTTGCAAACATTGTTAATAATTAAACTAAATGAAACTTGGCTTATGATATATTACCTCAAAATGTTTATCTCTATCAGAGCTTTGTCCATAATCAAAGGATGAATCCTGTTTGAACAATTAATTAGTCATAATTATAAAATTTTATGAAGATTATTTTTTAAAAAAAAAATTGTGATAAAGACACTTACATTCAAAATGTCTTGAATCGAAGGATGACAATATGTCTTTAGAAGAGTTTCATCATCAGTAAACCTAACAACTTCATAAGAGAGATCCTTTCCTTTAATGTTTAATTCCTTATTCCTAACCTTGAACATGAATTTTTTCTCAATTAAATCATCAAGCTCGCTTGGATAAGAGCATTCAACATCTTCAAGTAATCCTTCATTTAATTCTTTTGCGGACTTTCCTACTAGTTGTAAAGCCTCTCTATTCAAAAGAAATAATGATATAAATGCAGTTCCATCCATAACATACATTTGAAGATTGTACCTGAAAATCATAATATATTTGTGTTACAGAATATTAATTGAAATTAAAATTAAAATTTATTAATTGTTTATACAAACCTGTGAATAACATATTTTACTTCCTTATTGCATTCTGAACAATAATATTTATTTCCCTCTTGGTCCACCCGTGTAAAACATATGTTGCAAGCCAAGTATGACCATCCATGATCAAGTTTCAAACAAACAATTTTTGCAGCAATCCAATAGGCAGATTCCTTTAAAAGAATAATAATGCAATTTAATATACAAATTAGAAATTGTAAATAAAGCAATGCATCAATATTATATTATACGTACTTTTGTGCATTCAATTAAATCACTAAGAAATTTAAAAGGCACAATTCCTTTCGACAACTCATCCGAAATATGTTGTGAATTTGTCTGAAAAATTCTCTCATGTTTCGAACCAGATGATGCAACTAATCTGCAAAATTACTCAAAACATATAAGTTGTATAAATTAATTGCAAAAAAATTATATGATACATAATATGAAGATGATGTCAAACCTATTTTTAAAATCAGTAGGCTGAGGTAGATTAGGATTTATCCAAAGTTTGGATTGCCGACAACTATGAACATAGTAGTTTTCTGTTGATTGTTTGTTAACCATGTCAGTCAAGTTTTATTCGTAATAAGAATAATAATAATAACCTGAATTATTTATTTTACAATGATCATACCTCTAAATTTGAAAGCCTTCACTAATTGCAAAACAATAATCAATGGTTCATTTGCAGATCCACATAGATGAGGTCGGATTTGATCTGTCAATTCATCAAATAGAGTTGTGCAAAGCCTATTTTTTCTGTGTTAGTCAATTATATTATTAGTAATTAGTATATTATGAACATAATAAATTTAAAGAAGTGGTGATAAAATGAAATTAATAATTAATTATAAGGCTTACTTATCATCTTCTAATACAACTGTCATATTACAACGGGTGTTCTCTGCTTTTTCGTCTATTTGAATTGGTCCATAAGTGACAACCTGCCCAATAACATCTATATAAATAATATAGATTAGTATAATTATATTGTAAATGAAACATATTATGAATTGAATAATAGTAAGTAATTACCGAATAGTACAGCCTCATCCACATTATGTTGAGTTGTCAATTGATCAAAAGTGCGCAAATTAAAGATATTCATATGAAATAATGCATCGGATATTTCTGTCACAATTGTATTTTGTGTAAATATCAGCCTGTGTTTGTGTGTCGAAGTGGTGAAATTGGCTACAATAAAGTTGTTCATCTCATATAAACCAAGTTCCTGAATCTTGTCCTTCAAATACTTAACTGCAGACCCTACAATTGATGCAGATATATGATCACCCTACATAAATTTTTTGTTATGTTAATATACAATTTCTTAATATTAAAGTTATAATAATATGTCGAGAAATTGAATAACGTTAAATAATCAATTATAGAAATTACCTTTTCATCTTGCAAAACCAACTGTATTGAAAGAGGTATTCCTGACTTGTATCTATTTGATAGCCACATTCGAACAACACGAACTTTCAAAATACATTGTGTCGATTTGCTTGAAATTTCTGAGATTGTAATTAACTATAAAGCCATAATAGTTTTTGGTGTTAGGCAAAACACTGTTAAGTTTTAACATGATAAGTGATATATATATGACATAATAAACGATATATATAAATTCTATGTGCAATGAAAAACAATTTTTGAGTGATTATAAAATTGTGTTAAAGTGGATGGTAATTGCGTAGTCATGGAACCGTTTTTTTTTTTGTAATCACATGTAATTATAATAAATTTATAGAGAAACTCTTAAAACGTACTCCCTCTGTCTCAATTTATGTGACTTATTTTCCTTTTTAGTCAGTCTCAAAAAGATTGACACATTTTTATATTAAGTAACAATTTAACTATAAAATGTCTCTTTACCCCTTAATGAAATGATTTACAGTCACACAAATTTCTATCATTCATTTTGGACCACAAATTTTAAAAGTTTTCATTTCTTTCTTAAACACCGTACCGAGTCAAACTACCTTACATAAAATGGGATGGAGGGAGTATTATTTAAGTCGTGGTCTTCTTTAATTTTTAAAAAATATTAAAAACTGATAGATTGAAAGTAATATCATTCATGTAGAATTGTGGCATTAATGCTTTTTTAGAGATAATTTTATTTGAATTGTAATAAAAAAATAAAAATCAATCTAAGTGCTTAGAATCAAATAAGAATTATTAGTTGAATATTAATACTGTAAAATAGCAGAAATTTGAAAGAATTTATTATATTTAGGCTGTAATTTTAAAATAATATTTTATTTTTAAAAAAGTGATTAATGATTAGTTTATGAACTTGTTAAGTAGTAAGTGTTTAATGAGTAATTTTTAAATTGTACATTTTTATTTAAATATTAAATTTTGAAATAAGCACAAACAAATATCAATTTAACTAAATAATAACAAAAAAGGCATTAATTGTTTATAAAGAATTTAAGTTCACATAAATAGTGATGGTAGTGTAATTGAAACTTTTAAAACTGTCTAATAAATTTTATATTGTCATTAACCAATTTTTAGTTAAGGAAATAAAATCAAAAAAGAGAAATATTTGTGGTGATGACATGTTTTATTTATTTTTAAAATATTGAATTTTAAATTTTTTGAATGCTGATATTTGTCAAAAAAAAAAATCCAAAATATAAAATGTAAATTTTTAAAACAAAATTTGAACAAACTGAAAATCCGAGAATTTATCATTTGATGACACGTGACTTTTATTAAAACAAATTTGATTATTAATATCTAATAAATTGATATTTTTAAAAATGAAATTTTAAGAATATTTGTGGTGCGGACACATTTTATTTATTTATAAATATTAAATCATAATTTATTGTGGTGTTGACATTTTAAATTATTTCGAAAAAAATACATTTTTGTAAAAAATATAAACAATCTAAACGTGAGATAATTTATTGGTTTCTGACGTGTTGTTTTCCTTTTTTTTAAAATCACATTTATAACTCAGTAGAGACAATTCTATTTGAAAGTATAAATGTGATTATTTTTTTTTAAAAAAAAAAAGTATCGTGAGCAGTGTTTTACCTAGTTTTGTCAGTAGTGAGAGGTGACAGATAATTAGTCAAAATATGCAAAAGATGATTCTAATATTAAATAAAATCACATTTATAATATTTCAAAAAAAACTGAACCTTGAAGATTAATTGTGATTCGACAAGTGGCACTTTTGCCTCACCTATAATATAATTATATTATTTCATATTATTAATTTATTTTGAAAATTTTAAAGAATCATCATAAGTAAAATGGTCCAGACAATATCGTTGTTAAGAAAAATAAAAGAAGATGGGAGTAAGACTAAATACTACTCTTCCCGTCCCTAATTACATGTTCACTTTTGAATTGATACATTTATTAAGAAAACAATTATTGACATAGTGAGTTTACCATTTTTTCTCTATTAATTATAAAGTAGATAAATTAAAAACTTAAGATTTTTAAAAAATTCTACTTTTTTAAAATTAATTAATTAAGGGTATAATAGGTAAAAAAAATTATCGTTTCTTGATTTGTCAAAATGGACAAGTAATTAGAGACAACTATGGAAAAAAAAAAGATAAGTAATTAGGATTTAGGGAGGGAGGGAGTACTAGTTAACATACCTTAGGAGTAATTTGAACTTGAAGGTCATAATTTCCCCAACTTTCTTGGTCCTGTTGAATTTTATTTGCACTACTGACAACTGTAGGACCACAATTTTTAATTTCGATGAATTTTAGTGTCATTATTTCTCCAATACTGTCAGGAATCTCTTGGAGAACACGGAAGCGATGCAGTATTAGTTGCTCAAGCATAGGAAAATTATCACTATGAGCTTCCCATCTTTTCAGATCTGCGTCTAGAATCGGTAGATATTTTAATTTCCGAAACACAACATTTTCATTTAGTATCCACTCTGTTCCTTTGAATGCATCATACCCTTTAAGCACCTCAAGATTGGGTAAATCAGCCAGCAAGTCCATAACTTCCCATGGTATAAAAGTAAATGATAATGTCACCTTTCTGAGATTAGGAGGAAAAATATCCATAGAGAAACTCATCAGATCGATGTTTGCTCCTGCACATATGATTAGTGTTTCCAGCTTCTTTAGACGTTTGAGAAAAAGAAGAGTAGAAAACCAGTCAGGATGGTCAGAAAAATGTGAAATCTTTAGCTTTCTTAGGTTGGGAGTTGTTTCTATGATTTTCGCAACAAAAGGAGAGTTATGGAGATGAAGTGTTTCCAAGTGGTTGAGTAACAAAGGTTGTTTTCGAGGATTAGAGTGATTGAGTAACAAAGGTTGGTTTTTCGAGGATTAGAGTGATAGTAACAAAGGTTGGTTTTGAGGATTAGATATATATAATGGCCATCGAATATCCACATGTCTTAACCTTGACAATCTCCAAATATCTAGTGGGTGATTCAACACTGCCATTTTAAGACTCATAAGAATTATGGTCTGTAGATTTCTCAATTTGTCTAGTGAAACAACTCCCTTAATTCTTGCAGCAACATATGTCAAATGTACAAGTTGAGGTATTATCCAAGAGAAATCGTAATCAATTAATAATACGTCTAACACCTTAATCAACTTCAACTGTGAAACACAAAAATAAATCCCTTTTGGAAAATATAAACCAGAAGATGGCATTGAAATAAAGGTGCGGGTCATAGTTGTTCTACCACTGCTATGCCTTGTACGATAAACATGCTTCTCTTCATGTTTAGACAGAACAATCACTCGTCGTGGATCATCTATGCCTTCCATGGACATGAGGACATTCCCGTTCATGGCATGCACAACATTTTCAGTATGAGCTTCACTTAGGCATAGTTCGCGCAGAAGATCATGAATTTTGCAAGTTTTCATTCTTCCATTAGCCCTTTGTTTACCCGTCAAAACTAGACTTCTATCAATTAACTCTTCTAGATACTCCTCTGCCACTAGTTCTAACCTTTTATTTCTTCTTTCCTTTATGAATTGCTCAGCAATCCATAGTCTAATCAATTTGGAAACATTAATCTCTCTATCTTGAGGAAAACCTCCCATGTAGAGAAAACAAGCCCTCAAATGTTGGGGCAAGTAACTGTAACTCAGAGAAAGAATTGATTGGCACCGTTCGGATACTGTACCAAAGAATGAGTTCAGATTTTTCTCAACCTTCTTCCAATTATCATGTGTTGGGTCCATTTTTCCAACAAGTCCAGCAACGACAACAACCGAGAGAGGTAAACCTCGACATTGTTGTACAATATGCTTCCCTATTTCTTCTAGGTGAGGAGGACATGGATCTTTTTTGAATAATTTTTCTGTGAATAGACTCCAACCATCTTCTAGACTTAGAAAAGACTTCCTATGAGGTGGAAAATCAGGACAGCTGACATAATCAGCAACATACTTGAGCCGGGTGGTTATTAGAATTCGACTTTTTTTGTCATCATTTGGAAATATTCTTTTCATTTTTTTCCATGCCTCGTTACTCCAAATATCATCTATGACAATTAGAAATCTCCTACCCTTAAGACCTCTATACACATTGACCATTAGTTGATCATCACTCATCATTTCTTGATTGCTTCCAGTAATTGAATAGACAAGTTCAAGAAGCATTTGTCTCTTATTGTATTCATTGGAGACAGTGACCCATGCATGTCTATCAAATCGAGAACGAATATATGAATCATCATAAACTTTTCTGGCAAGAGTTGTCTTACCTATACCGCCCATACCAAAAATTGGTATGACAGTTAACTCGTTTCTTTGGGAAATGAGGCGATCAAATATGGTGTTGAAGTCATCCTCCATCCCAATAATGGTATTCTCCTCAACTCTACCTTTTTCTGCTGAGAATGAAGTTATTTCTAATTCTGGAGATTTGTTTCCATGGTTGTTAAACTCGATCAACATCACCTCTTTATTGAGAGAATCAACATCTTTTTCCACTTTTAGCAACTCTTCGTTGAAGAATTTCGCAGCCCCTTCTCTCTTCTCTGTGCAATCTGCTAGAATGATGTTTCTTAGACTTGAATCAACTTTATCTTCTGCTTCATATATCACATCCCTGATCCTCTTTTCTATAAACTTAAGAGTTTCAATATCTTTGGGTTATTTCTAATTCTGGAGATTTGTTTCCATGGTTGTTAAACTCGATCAACATCACCTCTTTGTTGAGAAAATAAATTTGTTCTTCCACTTTCAACAATTCTTTATAAAAGGATTTACAAGCTTTTTCCCGCTTGTCCTCACGGATTGCTAGAATGATCCTTCTTAGACTTGTATCAACTCTATCTTCTGCTTTGTATACTACACTTGTGATCTTCTTTTCTATCACCTTGAAATTGAAACTCGATAAATTAATATACATATAGCATCATAGCAGGATTTAGATAATTATACTAGTGAATTTACATACCTTAAGAGTTACAATATCTTTGGCTTCCTTTGTCTTATCCTCAAGGAAATCTTGTAGATCAGACAGAGTTTGATAGACAGATTGAATATGTTGTTGTGTACAACATTGACAAACCAAAGATTGATTAGGTTTCAAGAGTTCGTTCAATGTATAGTTAAGTGAAGAAATAGCAGCATAAGCCATTTCTCTTGCAGAGCAGAAAGAGTTTGATAGACAGAATAACAATTATTGCAATTTGCTGGAATAACTAAAATATAGAGCCTTTGCATATTTAATCCATCTCTCTGCTTTGTCATTATTAGGCTAAGATGCTTTGTCCAAATGATTTACTCCCCATGTCCCTTACTTTTCTTTTTAGTCAGTCTAAAAAAAATACGTTTTTATATTTAATAACAATTTAACTTCAATATATTCATATAAAATGATTTCTAGCCACATAAATATCTATGACTTATTTTGGACCATAAATTTCAAAAATCTTTAATTTTTTCTTAAACTTTGAATCAAGTCAAACTAACTCATATAAATTAAGACACAGCTAACAAATTTTTTTATCTCCACCTTTTTCTAAATGGGGGACAAAGACATAGTGCACTTACCTGTTATCATTTGTTTAATTAAAAGAGATGATGGGTGAGAACATAATCCAATACACTTTACATTAAAAAACAAGAAAATCAAATTGTTTCACTTAATTAATACTACTAGGCATGTGAGATGTTCAGTGAGGGTATTTCTTTTGTATTTTATAATTGTAGGGCACTAAACTTTTATCATTATCTTTAATTAAGTAATTGATGGGTTTGTTGACAAATGACCACAAAATGCAGCCAGTTTAAACTAGCATTAATCAGCCTAAGTTTAGGGAATTACGGGGTATGTAATTGTGGTGGTGAACGGTTGGAAGTTGGAAAAAATTAATCTTTCTATTAATTATATGCTGAGATTATATTTAAGGGATAAGGCACAACTATTTCTAGACAATGACCGAAATTTCAGAGACACGACTTAACTAAACTAAGGTTCTATTACCTCAATTAACCCTTTTTTTTTTGTAATTTTGTACACCTTTTTGGCTTACGTGGCATCCAAACATCTTCCACGCGTCTCAACTACGTTGTAACACCTCGGGCTACCATCAGTTTAGTTTTGATTTACGTGGCATCCAAACTTCAAACGATCATACCTTTTAGTAAATAAAGAGTTAGGTGGCCCATGACGTATCAAATCGAAGTTCTTTGAGTCCGATTTCCAACGCTGCCAAGTTTGCTAAATTCCGAGCTCCGAGTAAAAAGTTATGGCTGAAGCTTATCTAGTTAAAGCTTTTCATCAGTTTAAGGAAAGGGTATTTTGGTCTTTTCCTTACCCAATAGGCCTACCCACGTTTTTCCTCATCCAAGTTAAGGGTCCTGTTTTATTAGGAAAATATAAATAAAAGAAAAATGACTAGGTTTTCGAAAAATCGATCAAACTTATGATTTAAGAGAAATCGAATTTCCAAAAGAACAGAGTCGCCACTTAATTTTTTTTTATAGTAAAAATCAAGAAAAAACTTAAAGTTTTCAAAAGATTTAAACAGATAAAATCAATTTAAAAATAAGGGTTCGAAGTTCAATGTACATTCCGAGAAGGTGTTAAGCCCTCAGAATACCCGCTAACTTGCGGTTGACCGGCGATTTGACTAAAAATGATTTTGACTAATTTCAAAATTTTAACTAAACAAAAGAACTCATAACGACTTTGACTAATTTTGAGATTTTAACTAAGTAAAAGAACACATTTATTTTAACTATTTTTAAAATTTTAACTAAGTAAATGAACTCATTTATGACTATTTTTTATTTATATATTTATTATTATTTTTATTATTATTATTCTCATTATTATTATTGTTGTACAATTATCTTAAGGAGGATAGAACTAAAGGGGAATTTTTCTAAAGGGGAATAACCTAAGTGTTGACAATACCAAAATTAAAATAGAAGCTAGGTAATAAGAATATGTATAAATAAATATTTGTGTTTTTTTTTTTATATATATAAAATCGAAATGGCTATCTTTGGGATTTAATTAAATTTAACCATAAAAATAAATAAAACGTTAGTCAATCAACAAATAGATAAACAAATAAATGAAGAGGAATATATTGAATTTGGGCTTTTGCCCAAATTTCCAAATCTGCAAAAAAAGAAGTAATAATTCATTGGGCTTTGGCCCTTTTCCCATCTTCCTTGATCATGATAAGCACAAAGTGTATATTCGAGGTATACACCATGTACACCGCTAATTCTCGAACTCCCGGACCTGTAATTTTATTTGAACTTCGTGTTTTTGCACTTTTCACCTGTAGTTCTCACGTTTTTCCCTGTATATGATATTTTCTGACCGTATATCGATGTATATAGCAGGTATATCAGCCTGTTTTCGGCTTTTCCGGAGCTTGAAGATTTAATTTCCGGCATTGTCCTACTTCTTTTGACCTGTACACCAGCTATTTGGACTCGACAGAGAAATAAGTGGATGTGGGCCTTTACGGCCCACCCGAAATATGGGGGAGAAGATAGGAGTCCAAGAGGACTCGGATAGTATCACATGCCACAAAAATGATAAGGATTAGTATTCTTCATATGTCTCAAAATTGTAACTAAGTAAATAATTTAAAATTCTCATGTAATCGACATACACTCAAAGTAAGCTACGCTAAGCAAGAATCTAGATGACTTTAATGAAAATTGCTAACTATCCTATAGTCAGTAGCTTGAGTAACTTGGAAAGAAAACACTCCTAATACCTTTTGGACTCTTAAAACAAGATTTAGGAACAAACATAGCAGGTAGTGTTTAGCCCAAAATAAATAATAAAATAAAATAAATCTTACAGGAATGAGAGGTCTCAACAAATATGGCAAAGAAGGTAACATACGTGACTTAAAATTTGGGCAAAATAAGCTAAAAGTCAATTATTCAAATAGCAATCCATTGCTGATTCTAACTCTTTTTTCTTTTTTCTTTTTTTTTTTCTTTTTTAAAGTGGTCATCCATATTTTCTCAAGAAGCTACCAAACGGCAAGCATGAAAATTGACACGATAGCGAGGCAAAGTTTTCGAAGTAAAATCCATAAAGAAATCAAGACAAATAATATCGAGTTATAAGGTGCGGGATGGAATAACTAGCAACACGGTATTAAGGAAATCTCGAACTAAACTAATTCCTTATTTTAATCAGTTATGCCATAAAAATAAAAATAAAGCGAGAAAAACATGGAACAAACTTGAGGGGAGCAAATATGCATTTCAAATATTATTATGTTTTGAAACTTAACCCGACAAGTAAGCTATAACATCAAAGGTTTCCATGAAAGTGAAAAGAGATATGTAAAACTAGGCTGGTATAAAACCAAATGCCGACCTCCAAACACACGCACAAGAGAAACGGAACTATAGTAGAAAGCAAATCCTCGGAAGAAAGAACGAATATGACTTCACCTTTGGAAAGTGTAGTATTGATGCTCAGTCCACATTTAAGCATAACATAAGAAACATGAACCCCTTTTAAGACAGCCCAACGAAATCATTATAAACATTTAGCTTCAAACTAGAATAAGCAGACAGCAAATACACTCAACAAAACTATGGAAACATGCTGAAAACGAGGAGGAATAAAAACCAAATAGGTGGTTACACTTTCGCAATACAAAATAGGACGGCCATTGAGTTTAATCAAGAAGAAAATGACCACTTATGCTCTCCGATCAACAGCTACGACAACATATAACTTCATACTAAAAGATTATAAGATTTTCCCTCATCTCAAAGGAAGAACAGAGAACATTAGTAGTAGTAAAATGAATGGAACTTTCAATATTCAGATGCTCAAGCAAAAGACAACAAATATAGATTCGACGGTATCCGAATAACGGATTTAGAAAGGCAAGATGAACCCCAAACAAATAACAGAGAAATGACAACATTGACCACGACACGATATGACTTTAGAATCAGCATTAAGAATGAAAACAGAGCTCATTTGAGACAAACAAAGCTTATTAAGACGCCAAAACTCAAACAACAAAAGAGCATAACTAAAGCTAACAACATTGTATCGAAATGGCAAAGGCGAAGAGAGTATTGTGAAGGGAAGAAGTATTATCTCTCTATGGGCAGCAACTGGACAAGCAACGAGCAGAGTGACTTCACCACCCAGCGACTTCGGAAAACTTTGAAACTTTCGATAAATTTTCAGCAGCCCCCAAAGAAACGACAATCCGAAATATATTTATTGTGTATCCTTTGTAACTCGATATCCCTTTTTTATATCAATTTCTCCCCCTCTCTCTGACGTTTTTTTTTCTTCCTCCACCAATGAACAGAAAAGATCTTATATAAGGAGAAATTAGGGTAGATTTTTTTTTGGGGGGGGGAGATCCGATGAAAAATCGAATTCAAAGGCCCACAAATTTGAATTCCAAAAACCTTTCACAAATCAGGGGAGGCACCCTTTTTTCTGAAAATTTCGCCCATTCTGAAAGAGGGAAGGGCAATAGACGCCTTGGATCGATCTCCCGTCCTTGAGGCGCGACGTGGAGCGATCTCACGGTGCCAGGATAAATTTCGCGTGCTGGCAGGTGCTTTTTCGCTGGTGCTGCAGCGAGGAAGAAATTGTGGTGCAGTGAACTCGCATGAGGGATTGATGAAGTTGTTGTCGTTTACTGAGAATGAGAGGTTGTTTCTGGGTTTCTCTTTGGACTAAGGGAAAAGAGGAAAATGGGCCGGGTTACGGGTATTGGTGTTGGGCTGTTGTAGTTGTTCGTATTATTGTTGTTATGGAAAAAAGGTGATCTGGGCGGTTGGGTATTGTATTGTTATATGTTGGTGGGCTGGGAATAATTGGACAAAATTGGGGGTTGCTGATTGCCATTATATTGGGCTGCAAGTGATACAAGATTGGGCCAAAAAATGATATAAAATTGGAGATGAGGCTTGGCCAATATGGCAATTGAGAAAATTGCAATCATGGCCGATGGAAGTTAAGGCCTTAGCCAAATTGATCAAGTTTAGTAAGCTTGGCTAATCATTAAAATTAATATAAATTAATTAACGAGCTTCTACATTTTAAACAAAACAAAATAATTAATTTGAACATAAACTAACCGATTTCAATACTCAAAATTATAACTATAAATTATACTAGACTAAATTAATAAAGTATTTACTAAACAATGTAGAAACCTTTT